TAGCTGGCTGTCCATCATTTGTGATTTTGCACATGGGAGTACAAAGCCCACACTGTAGCTTTGAGCTGGAACTTTTCTTTTTAGAAGATTTGGAATCTTAAAGGATTTTTGCACACCTACACCCTCAAAGTGTATCTTGGGCAATACATTATTAGTAAAATATTCTGTTTGCCCCAGGTGCCAGGTCATCACCACACAATAATCTCTAGTCTGTTCTTTCGTCTGCTTTGTAGTAACTCAACATAGACTTACAAGTAGAGGCAGTAACATCAAAAGAACAGAGAAAAACAATGACTCAAGTGAAAGGTATTTTGGGGATGATGCCCAGCTCCTGATAACCTTGGAAAGATTTCTGGAAGAAGATAAAACCAAGAAAACAAAGATCCACATAGCTTCGTTTAGGATTTCTGGACCTGTTGTGTCCCTGTGTATGGGAGTTATGTCACTACCTAGGGAGGGATAGTAGATCTTTGGTTTTTACACAGATATCTAGAAAGCCATCAGGAAGATCCTTTAAGATCTCTCTCCTTAATAGAGAAGAGAAGAGTAATAGGTGAACAGAGGAGAGAGAAGAGCAAAGAGTAATGGGTGGAAGCTTGTTCAACAGAGACTCTGTCTAGAGATTCAGCACCTAGAGTTGTGGGTGCTCAATCACTGAAGGTTTTCAAGAAAAAAATGGACAACCATTTGAGTGGGATGGAATAAGGTTTCCTGCCTTGAGCAGGGGGTTGGACTAGAAGACTACAACGTCCCTTCCTATGATTCCATGTTCTAAGAGCCCAAGAGACCACATCACGCACCAGCTGTAAATTGTAGCAAAACTAGCTATGTATAATTGGCAATTAAATGCTGCAGAATCCACACGAAAGGGTCAGTAGCAATAGCAATAGCACTTAGACTTATATACCACTTCATAGAGTTTTACAGCCCTCTCTAACAGAGTCAGCATATTGTCCCCAACAATCTGGGTCCTCATTTTACCAACCCATGGAAGGATGGAAGGGTGAATCAACCTTGAGCAGATCAGGATTGAACTGCTGGCAGTTGGCAGAATTAGCCTGCAATATGACATTCTACCACTGCACCATCATAGTAGGCAAAGAGGTAGGCCCTTAGTACATTATGTGGTTAGATTGGCTTATTTATTTGTTTATGTGGGTGGATTGGCATATTTATTTGTGTGCTTGGTATTATTGGATTTCCATACAACCTCTCTGATTGAAAGCAAACCCACTTAATGTTCCAGAAAGCCCTTAAGACTTGTTATTAATTATCTTCAGACATTAGGGTTGAAATGTTCTGGGAGCGCCACAAATGTGTGCCCATTTAGCAGATTTGTGATATGGTTCCTCAGTTGTCTTTGGTGTCGGATTAACTCTACGTTGAGATGGATAGGCACACAACTTTCTATATAGATAAATACAGGTAGTCCTCGACTTACGACAGTTCATTTAGTGGCTGTTCAAGGTTACAGTGGCACTGAAAAAAGTGACATGACTTTTTTCACACTTATGACCATTGTAGCATCCCCAGATCATGGCATCCAGCCTTCTCAATTCCTGGCAAATAGATGGGGAAGAAATGGAGGTAGTGACAGATTTTATCTTCCTGGGCTCCAAGATCACCTCAGATGGGGACTGCAGCCAAGAAATTAAAAGATGCTTGCTCCTGGGGAGGAAAGCTATGGCAAATCTAGACAGTATACTAAAAAGTAGAGACATCACCCTGTCAAAAAAAGTGCATATAGTCAAGGCCATGGTTTTCCCAGTTGCAATGTATGGCTGTAAAAGTTGGACCATAAGAAAGGCTGAGCGCAAGAGAATTGAGGCCTTTGAACTATGGTGCTGGAGAAGACTCCTGCGAGTCCCCTGGACTACAAGGCGATCAGTCCTAGAGGAGATCAACCCCGACTGCTCTTTAGAAGGCCAGATCCTGAAGTTGAAACTCAAGTACTTAGGCCACCTAGTGAGAAAGAAGGACTCACTGGAGAAGAGCCTGATGCTGGGAAAGATGGAGGGCAAGAGAAGAAGGGGATGACAGAGAGTGAGGTGGCTGGATGGAGTCACTGAAGCAGCGGGTGTGAGTTTAAATGGACTTCAGAAGATGGTAGAGGACAGGAAGGTCTGGAGGAACATTGTCCATGGGGTCATGATGGGTCGGACATGATTTCGCAACTAACAACAACAAGCATCCCCATGGTCACATGATCAAAATTCAGATGTTTGGCAACTGATTCATATTTATGATGGTTGCAAGGCCATGCAATCGCATTTTGGAACCTTCTGAAGTCAATGGGGAAGTCAGATTCAATTAACAACCATGTTACTAGCCAGAACGATTGTAAAATGGGGCAAAGTTCACTTAACCACTGTCTTGTTTAGCCACAAAAATTTTGAGCTCAATTGTGGTCGTACGCTGAGGAACTACCTGTACAAGATAATAGTTGAGGGTTTGCTACCCATCCCAACCCAGATAAACCATTTTAAATATTACTGGCTTGCTTTCTCATCAAAGGGTAATACAATGACCAACCGTGGAATGTTAGGTCTGAATTAAAACCATCTTTAGCTGCATTCACACCCAAGATTTTACCTCATTAGTAAAGGTTATTTACTAATTTAACTTAGTTTACTCATTTAATTCATTTTCTGGATTTGTAAAAAAGAGGTGAGGGGAGAATCACAATGTAACCAAAAGAGCTAGGCTACCAACAACAATAAAATGGAAAAAAAACTGTTCAAGTTGCTTGCGTTAGACAAATCGAGTTACTACTAGTATGCCTTTGATTTGGTTAGATGTGCTGGATGAGCCCAGGCATGCCCTACAGAGCATGGCCAGTTTGGTTAGCCAAGAAGATTGTTCCAATATTATCAAATATTTGCTCTTATCAATCCCTTCTTCAGACTTACTCCTCTTCTTTACTCACCTCCCTTGACCTTTACATTCTCCCTCACTGCTCATATGAGAATGCAATTTTTCACTCATTGATTTGCTTCCTTGCAAGTTATATAGCCTCCTTCTGTTTCCTTCCCACCTGGAGAGCTCAAGATGGCACATCATGTACCTTCTTTTCCCATTCTTTCACGACCACAATCCTTGAGTGGAGGAAAAGAGACGGGCTCAAAGTCCTGTAAGAACTTTCAATGTTTGAAGGAAGACCAGATCCTGGGTTGTCTCAAAGGTGCTTTTTCAAGAGGCAACTGGACTTTCTTGTTTTTCTTTGAAGAAGCTTCTTCAGCTCTAGAACTGTTGTGAAAGATTGGGAAGAGAAGGTGCAGTATGTGCCACCTTGAACCAAAGAAGCTTCTTGGATGAGAAGTGAAATGTCTTCAAAAAAAAATAAGAAAGTCCAGTTGCCTCTTGAAAAAACACCTTTGGGACAATCATGATCTGGAGGACCGAGAATCTCCATAGAGATTTAGACCCTGGGTTACATACTGCTGATCCAGCTCTTCACCACTGGACCATATGGACTGTTGCGCTTAGGAAGGAAGGACTGGACTAGAGTCACCCCAAAACCATCTATGGCTGAGGTGAGCTAGAACCTGGGTCTTTCCACTTCTTTTTTTTAATATAAATATTTTAATAGATTTTATAAGGGTAGGGAAGGAATAGGGTTGGTATGGGTATTGGATGGGGTTGGGGAATAGGAATGGGATATGGGGTGGGAATAAATACAATAGTTGGGTTGTCCCCCACAAAATATTCACCGCTTTAGCAAGCAGACTATCGTCTGGGTACAAATATTGAATAACAATAATTAATATAATACTAAACAATAATAGTAAGACACAATAACAATAATTAATATAATATAATCAATAATAGTAAGAGTAATCATAAAAATAAAGCTTAGTCGGTAAATATCATTCATCCTATTAAATTTCACAATCCTTTCTCGCTCTAGCGCAGCGGTTCTCAACCTGTGGGTCGGGACCCCATTTGGGGTTGAATGACCATTTCACGGGGGTCGCCAAACCACGCTGTCCGCCATTTTTTTCCCTTTTCCCTAGCTGTCCTACTCCCTCTTATTGGTGGCCACACCCACTTGGGGGTCACCACAATATGGGGAACTGTATTATGGGGTCACGGCATTAGAAAGGTTGAGAACCACTGCTCTAGCGTGATGCTAACCATTGATAAAAAAAATTCCCATGTTTTAAAATAAACTGAATCTTCCTTCTCTTTAATCTCTAAAGTTAGTCTATCCATTTCTGCACATTCTGGGATTTTCGTGATTATCATCTGGTCAGATGGTAAATTTTCATTTTTCCAAAATTCTCACAGCTGGTCTTCCCACTTCTAATCTAACATCTTGACCACTGCACCAGATTGGTAATCAGTTCCTCTGGGGACACCCCTACACTACATTAGCACCACAATTGAGCACAAAATGTTGCTAAGTGAGACAAGTGGTTAAGTGAATTCTGCTACTGTTGTTCAGTGAACAACTGCAATGAGTAACCCGGTTGTTAAGTGAATCTAGCTTTCCCATTGACTTTCCTTGTCAGAAGATTACAAAAGGTGACCACATAACCCTGGGACATTGCAACCGGCATAAATATGAATCAGTTGTCAAGCGTCTGAATGTTGATCACCTGACCACGGGGATGCTGCAATGGTTGTAAGTGTGAAAAACGGTCACAAGTCACTTTTTTCAGCGGCTTATTAACTTTGAACGGTCACTAAATTAATGGCTATAAGTTGAGCCCTTTTTTCACATGGCACCACAACTGCCCTCAACCCGTTGTTTTTGCTCCCAGTCTGTGTCGTGAGCTAACAGATTTGCTTGGCATATACCAAAATTTGAACAGGAAGACAAATGGACTGAGGGAGCATTGATTTGGGGGCAGGAGAAGGACTTCTTGCCACGCTCTCTTAGGGCAATCAACCTCTGCCCAAGACCTAAAGCAGATACAATCAGATTGGTTGTAAAACCAGCCAAATAAAAATCTGACTTAGCCCCCCCCCTTTGCCACACAGAGAGAATTCCTTTCTCCTTGCATAACTCTAGAAAATTGAGACCACACCCTATTGCTCACACAAAATAAGGCATCTCATTACAGTGCCATAAGCTGGATTCCTCCGGTGCTTTTTTTCATGCAGGACAAGGAGAAAGTTTCATGGCTTAAACTCTGAAGATTTCAGAAGACCTGCCACAAGGAGAAAGAAATCTCTGCTTTTCTTGGTGGGGAGGCTGGCCAATCTGAGGAAATTTGAAGAAGGAGATTGGAAGAAGTTGGTGAGTAGAATTTCCCTTCTTACTGGTAGACGGATGTGAGTTTCGGAAGATGGAGAGATGGACTCTTTCCGCAGAGTTTCTCTTTTAAAAAAATATTTGGAAGTATTCGTCATTTGCAACCAGGAGCGAGGCCAATACCTTAATCCTGAACAGAGATTGCTGGGAACATTTTCGTAGTACAAAATGAATTAAACATGATGCATAGGTATAACTTCAGCGGATAACAAGCTCATATTGCTTGTTCAACATTAGCAGTCTGAGTAGGCATTTTCAGCACCCCAGAGGTAAAGATGACCCATGCCCGCTTCTGAACTCTACTTAGGACCCCAGGACGAAATAGTTTGATGGGTTCAATTGCTGAACAACAAATTAAAACAACTTGCTTAGCAAAGCTTGCTTCGATAAGAAACATCAGGAAAAAGCAAGGTGTTTTAATGTCGGTAACCAGGAAGTGCCTCTCTCCTCGTCCTGCTGATCTCCTTAAGTCTCATCGGTGCTCAAACACTGAGCTGAACAGGAGTTTTACGGAATAGGAGGCAATTCCAGTTAAGTGCTTTAAAGAACTGCAGCTAAGCACAAGGTTGGTTCTTCTACCAAGAGACAGAAAGGAAAAAATGAAATGTCTCGATGTACAGAATTCAGGCTTAATTGTGCAGGCATCAGATTGGTGACTTGGCCATCAGTCTTTTGGCGTTGAATGGCAATTATCAGGTTCTCCATACAGCAAGTTGCCTTTTTTAAAAAAAAAAAAAAAAATGAGTTGTAATAGTAGCAGTAGTAAATTTAATACTGGCCAGAATAAAAAGGACCTGAAAGAAGAAAAGGAAGCAAGTAAGCAAGTAGAAAAATCAACCTTAATTTTGCAGTCATCTGAATGGTAACCTTCCATCAATCCCATGGAGCTGAATGGCAATGGTCAAGCTCTCCATTCAGCAAATTGCCTTCCTTTTAAAATTAGCTGTAGTAGCGGGTAGTAAATTTAATACTGGCATGGAAAAAAAAAACCCAAAACAGGTGTGATCTGATGGAGATGGAAAGCAGGTAGGCAGACCCAGAGAAGAAGGAGTTAACTTTTTTTCTCCTTTTGCAGCCAAGGTATATACTCTTGTAAATACCTTTGCTTTTGAAATGCACTGGCTTGTAAAGGAAGGTAGCAACTAGACAAAGAGAGGAGGGGAAAAAAAAATATAAAAGCAGCTCCTGGAGTAGAAAACACAAAACATGTTCACTCAAAGCTTCTGCAGTTTGAGGGCAGCTGCTTATAAAGGAGGTTTAATAAACTTTGCACGGGGAGGAAAAATGAGAGGTTTCCTGCCAGACCTGACTTGCTGCAGGGAGCACCAGGGGGTGGATGGTGGTAAGGAGGAATGAGTGAGAACTGTCAGATGGGGTTGTTGCTTGTTTAAGTATTGGTCCTCGTCAAGGGTGGTGAGCCATTTGCGATGGTTGTTTAGGTGGGCATTCAAAACAGGGGTCCCGAGAGCTTATTGTTGTTCCAAGGAAAGTGCTTTCCCAAGTGTTGGAATTAATCCAGAGACAGAGAGAGAGAGAGAGAGAGAGAGAGAGAGAGAGAGGGAGGGAGGGAGGGAGGGAGGGAGGGAGGGAGGGAGGGAGGGAGAGAGAGAGAGAGAGAGTAATTCATTGCTCAGTCAGTCCATAGGTGCAAGATTCAGAAGGATTTCTTTTTTTTTTTAAATGCATCCCTCAATTTTCCATTTATATTTAAAATCACCCCTGTTGGAGAGCCCAAAACGTTATTTATAGTTTTGGCTAAAGATCGTTAACCAAAGTAGTCATAAAGAGGAAAATTCCAGACAACTGAACTCCATGTGTGCACATGTTTCATTTGCAAGGAGACAGACTGAAAATTAAAGGATTATTTTAGCCTCGATTCACGATGCTCCAGTGATATCTGCAGCTCTCTGAACGTTGGAGTGGAAGTCTCTGAAACGGTGAGGGTGGCAGAGCTTAACCTATTCCCCTTTGAGGTGCAAGGCATGCAGGGCACAGCTGAGCTAAGGCCCTTCAATTATTATTTTGCCTACGTCAGCAAACCTGGTGGTTGCAGCCGCACATTGCATAGCTGGAAATGCTTCCAACAGCCATCCAGACGGCATCATTACTGCAAGGAGTCCTCAAGTTACAACCACAATTGGGACGAGAATTTCCATTGCTAAGCAAGGTGACGATTAAGTGAGTCGCATCCAATTTTGCAAAAAAAAAATTTTTATTTGCCATGGTTATTAAGCAAATCACGTGATTCTTAAGCAAATCCGTGTTCCCCCATTGACTTCATTTATTGGAAGCAGCTGAGAAGGTCGCAAATGGCGAACACACGACCGAAGGATGCCGCAGCCCCCATAAATACAAGCCAGTTGCAAGCGTCCTAATTTTGGCCACATGACCAGCATGGGGAAGCTGAAACAATTGTAAGCGCAAGGACAGGTTGTAAGTCGCTTTTTTCAATGCCGTTGTAATTTCGAAAGGTCGCTAAATGAATGATTGTAAACTGGGGACTACCTACAGTATGTTGGTCACGAGGATATGGGCATTTTCTTCCGAACCTGACAATTGTTTTGGCCTGCACTGTTGCCTTCTTCAGCCATTGAGAATTTGGTAAGGAAAAATCGTCATCCGACTTCTGTTTAGGACCATAACTCAGTTTGTTCAAGAAGCTCTCAGTGTAGCCCAAAAAAAATCACCAGATTTAATATTATTGTATATACAATATTATTGTGAGTCTCAACTGCTGGTGATTTAGATCATAGTACATAGAATATAGAACAATAGGGTTGGAAGGGATCTTGGAGATCTTCTAGCCAACCCCCTGCCTGAGCAGGAGACCCTAAACCAGGGGTAGGCAACCTTGGCTCTTTTATGACTCGTGGACTTCAACTCCCAGAATTCCTGAGCCAGCATGGCTCAGCTTGGAAACCTCTCCCTTTCCCCTCAGCACGGCTGGCTCAGGAATTCTGGGAGTTGAAGTCCACGAGTCAGAAAAGAGCCAATGTTGCCTACCCCTGCCCTATACTGTTCTAGACAAATGGCTGTCCAGTCTCTTCTTGAAAACTTCTACTGACAAAGCACCCAAACTTTTTGGAGATAAGCCATTCCACTGTTCTCACTGTCAGGAAATTTCTCCCTAGTTCTAGATTGGATCTTATGATCTTTCATGATCTTACTTCTTCTTCTACCCTCTGGTGCTTTGTAGAATAGGTCAAGCCCCTCTTCTTGCTGAAGACCCCTCAAGTACTGGAAGGCTGTTATCATGTCACCCCTAATTCTTTTCTAAGAATTAGATACCTAATTCCCTCTATTGTTCAATTCTCCAGACCTCTTATCATCTTTGTTGCTCTTCTTTCTAGGATCTTAACATCTTTTTTGTGTCATGGTGACCAGAACTGGATGCAGTATTCCAAGTGTGGTTTCACCAGTGCAGTATAAATTAGCACTATTGCTTCATGTGGTCTTGAAACTATCCCTCTGTTGCTGCAGCCTACAAATGCATTAGCTTTTTTGGCAGCTGCAGCACACTGCTGGCTCATGCTTAAGTGATGGGCTATTATGTCACCTGGATCATTCTCACAGTTGCTCCTGTTGAGCCAGGTACCACCTATTCTATACGTGTACATTTGGTCATTCCCCCTGTCTTGACATCATCTGCATCATTTACATGGATCCATGCATGTAAGTTTATTAACAGAAACAATAGAAATAGTTTGCCATTACCTTGTTCAAGGTTGTTTTTTTCAACTTCCCAGTTTGACTTACAACCATTTGTACATCCCAAATGGTTCCCTGTCTGAGAACTAAGTAGGATCTCCATTGTCTAGTTTCCAAGAACAGTCAGCGTTGGATATGCTTTTCACTGAAGTTTGTGGAACCCATACAACATTCTGATTCAAACAACATATTAAGCATTATAAAGACATACAAACCATGGTAGTTAGCTTCACACAACAAGCTAAAACTCAAACAAGTTAATCACAAAATGGTTCAGTAAAAGAATTGAATTTAACCAGAGTCTATCCTCAGAACACAATTTGTAACCATGTTTCTCTGTTCACTAGATCTCAATTTGGACTAACCAATCCAGCAATGAGATAAAGAAACATGACAGGCAGGTTTCAAATAGATTGCAACTAGGTTTACTCATCACATCAAGCCATATCACCCTAACCAAAGTTTAAAGGCTAAAGCACAATTATCTAGATTCACAAAACACACTAGGCCAAAGCCAACTAACACACCTAATTGTTGCTCAGAACAATGCCTAAAGCCAGCTCAGCTTAGCAAGTAGTTTCTAAGTATTCCAGCAATAAAGAGGTTAATATCTTCCTTTTAATCTCATGCATTAGATTGAGGGATCACCTGCAATACACACATCCCCCCCACACACACACACACATCCTGGGAACTCCCATTTCAGAACCTCTTGGAATGCAAGCGTCAAAGTCCTGTTACAAACAGGCTTTGGAGAGAGTAAAAGACACGTATCTCTTGAAACAAGCAACTGTCTGCAGGTTCTAGAGTTTGGCGAAGTAATATAATGATGAGGGAGAACCACAGACATTGTCACCAAGTTGCTTAGCACCAGTGTTGCCTTTTAGCTCAGGATATGAACCAGGTCACCACCCAATTTCTGAATTTTGATCATGTCTTTAAATGAAGGCAGAGTAGCAACCCTTGGCAAGGGCTGGGCTCCAAAGCCAGGAAAACTTAATTGTGGCACATTTGTACCTTGCTGTTAAAAGCAGAGCCACTTTTAACCTTTGGCAGTTCTAACTATGGCTGCTTTGAGCATACAGTAGGCAGAAGAACAGTATGTTGTATCCTTTTTATTAGTTTATAATATAAAATACAACAACGCAAATCAAATAATAGGAAAAATAAGTGAAGGAAGAGGAAAGTGTAGGAAAGAAGGGAGAAAGAAAGAAAAGGCATTGACTTCCGACTCTCTTCGGTGCCACAGAATAAGACAATAACACCAAACCTCGACT